ATGGCCACGGTTATAGCTTGCTGAGGGAAGAGCTTTCTAACTGGATTGCTTTGACCTGGCTGTGAACCATTCTCATTTGGCCAAAAACGAGCATCGTGGGTTGTATGACTGGGGGCTGCAGAAGAGCCCTGTTTGCGGCCAGGATTGTGCCTTAGGAAAATCACACCAAGGGAGGAGGAAATAGTTTGGATTTTAATAAAGTCTGCTTTATTTTGTTCATTTATATATTTTTTTCTTAATTGCACAGCAAGTGCTCATCTCGGTCTTACAAGTAAGTCAATTCCATGCAGGGCTGTAGCGAATTGATTTGAGATCTGTGGCTGAAAAGCAGTGAACGACTGCCAAGCATTGTTATATTAGGAAAGTTTAAAGCACATTATGGGTGAGTATCCTCATTATTCCTGAGGAGAGGTCATTTTGCAGATCAGGATTGGTGCAAGAAAGGAAACCAGTTAGGGAAGAACAGGAATGTGAAAAGTGCATTGGCTGCGGCCGGCTTTACAGAGTCCTCCTTCGTTTTCTGCTTGGATTTGGAAGAGAAACCTTTTTCTTTCAACTCCTGCGAAAAAGATGTACAAAGCAAAGCCGTAAGAGTTTATTTTCACGGGGTGACTGCAAACGACGTCCTGCTGCTTTCATTAACGAGTGGGAGATGTTCACTTTAACCACCCTGCCTCTGAACCGGTCCCTCTGCCGTGTAGGAGCCGCTCCTGGTGGCCCGCATCCAAACGTTTCTTTTGGTGGCTCCTAAAGGGACTTATAAAGAAATTACAAACTTCCTCACAACCTCTTGAGCGCCATTCGGGGAATAGAAGAAAATTGTTTGCATTTTTATATGTTATGTTATACATTTCTCCAGCTGACTCATTTCAGTTTGTCGAGGAAACTTATACAGCCTCACAGATGGTTTTTTTCAACCGTTCTTTCTAACAGCAGAAGTTGAAAAGTTTAGTCCTTGTGAGAGGGGCTTCCTCTACCAGGCTGCGAAGGGCCTGGATTTCAGTCCCAACACGCCGCAGGCATCCAGCAGGAAACTGCTCTTCATCTGCTCCCGACCAGCTGTCTGTTAGCGGTGCTCTGGGGCCCCAGGGGTTAATTTCCCAAAATCCTTCACTGAAACTTGTTAATAACTTCCATATGTACCCTTGTGTGTGCACAGGAGGGGCCCCACAGCCAGCAGCTCTTGTAATAATACTTGATTACCTCTGACATAAGGGTCTGTATGCCATTAGGGATCTGCCTTGATGGATCAGGATTCACAGAAAAACACAAGTTTGTGCAAAAGCATTTCAAAAAATGTATTAACGTTTGGGCATCCTCAGTGTTTGGAAATGAGTTCCTCCTAAGTAGGCAAGCTTCAAAATAAAATCACCTGTGTACACACAGCTGGACTCAGTTTTGGACCCTTACCCTGATGTCCCTCCGAAAATGTCCCTCCGCATCATTAGTCTTTAAACG